GTTAGATGGGGCAAAAGATGGCTTGTTAATTTTAATGCTGCCAAAACTAAACTGCTCTCCATTAATCATCTTAGAGACCCCCTCTCACCAACACCTATCAGTATGGCTGATGCTAACCTCCAGGAAAGTGACTCATTGTGCCTTCTCAGCTGACATGAAGTGGAAAGACTATATTGAATCCATTGCTAGGTCAACTGCTAAGAAAGTTGGTTCACTGTGTTGTGCAAGACAATTTTTCTCTCCAGAATCTATCTTACATATCTATAAGTCTACCATTCATCCATGCTTAAAATATTGCTGCCACATATGGTCTGGTGCTCCTGCTATTTAGCTTGAGCTCCTTGATTAGATCCATAGATGAGCCTATATGGTGAAAAAATGTGCAAAACTTAATAAAAGCAAAGTTTTATCATCAAAGTATTTGTGTTATTATTAAGACAAAAGATCAATAGAATTTTTGATGGAAAAATACTTTTTAGAATATCTGAAATAATTTTGGTTAAAATTTTGTTTTCCTGGCATCAACATGGGACTATAAAATATACTTTTCTACAATGTTATTTGAGAAAAATTAGCTGATTAATTTTTTAAACTTTAAACTTTTAGTTTAAAATATTGATGAAAAGCATTTTTTAACATAAGTGTTTTTTATGATGTGTTGACACATTTATTGACAGCCTGATGTTTGGGAAATTTATCTAAAGAGAAGATAATTATAATTAAATTACTTGACTAATACAATGTAAATGCCTTTTTTATATAATTATTTTAACTTGAAAATTTTAAATATTTTAAGCATTCTAAAATTTTATTGAATTTTAGGTACTTTGGCTTTAAGTCTTACATATGAAAACACTTGTTGAAGAAATGTTAAAAAATTACCAATAAATTTTAATTTTACTATAGTTACATCTCTTACTTTCTGATAATGTCATTTATGAATTTCTATATTTACAAAAATTTTTACAAGAATTGTTTTGAGTTTCTTTAAAATTTTAATTAGAATAATTTAAACTTTAAAAATTCTGTATTAATTTGTAGCAGTCAAGTGATATTGTTATTAAATAAAAATGTATTTACTAATCATAAATGGAAAAACTTACAATTCAGTGAACTACCCAGTATTTTAAAAAGAATTTTGAATTTTTGTGTGTGTGTGTGTGTGTATAAACATGCTGATTTTTTTCTTCCATATTATTTCAATTAAATTTTGTTATTTCTGGAGTTCCAACAACTGTTGTTGCTGTTGTTGTATTTTTATCACTTGGGCTAATAATTCTTTCATATTTGAAGAATGTTTTCTTTTTTTTTTTTTACACACACCAAAGAGAAAAAATTAAATCAACATGGTCTTGTCATCCCTGTTATGTGCGCCAAAGCAAAAAAAAAAAAAAAAAAGACAACAAAACAAAAAAACTTTTTTCTACTTGTATGAGTTTTGATCCCTTATCGCCAGTGTTATAACTCACTCCTGGTGGTTATAATATTGTCATGCTTAGGCCACTCACTGTGATGTCTGTTAGAAATTCTCCTGACTGACTCCAACAAACTTCCCTGACTCACTTAGAGTTCTTTATTTAGGTGTATTGCTTAATTCATCTGTCTTACAGGGGAGGGGAGGGGTGGTGGTTTTACTCCACAACAGTTGTTTTGAGAGATTTATCAACATGAAAAATTATTACTGATAATTAAATTTAATCTATTAGTTTGGAATTAAAACTAAAACAAAAGCTTCAAGAAAGATTTATCATTTGTAAAATGCACTTTAAACCTTAAGTATTACTCTTTTCTTGAGGAAACTATATATATAACACATTCCTAATAAAAACAACAAACCCACCCTAAATTAGATCAGGTAGTGAAGCACCAGTTCAGCAGGAATGAACAATAACTGACATCACAGCAACAATATATCACAATTCAGATATCACACATCAACCAATCAATGATCACCTGATGATAACCAAAGGGTGTTTTGTTGAAACATTATGTCTATACTAACATCTTTATGAACCAAGACGAGAATAATAGTTTGAAATAGAATATTGAGGTGGTAGGAATTGTAGATAGATAATTATTGACCCTTAATTTTATTAAGCTTGAAGTTTAAGAGTTTAAGATTGTAATTTGCACTATTTACATTTGGACTATTTTCCTCAACTTTATTGTTATTATCACAATGTTTTGGCTGTTGTATCCTCTGTCCTTCATCAAGTGTATATCAATCCAGGTAACCTAAAGAGAATAAGCTAGTGGATTAAAGCATTGTTTCATGAATTTGGTGACATAGTAATTCCTTGGGCTGGGCAGTATGTACTTGGACTCAATGGAACAAGGGTGAGCAATAACTGAGCAGTACTAAAAATAAGAACTAGAGGAGATATGCCTAGATATGGGCAATGGAATGAGAACAGTCTACCCTTTAGATTAAATAAAGGTTTCACTTTGGAATTCCCTGTAGGTTACCTGGATCAATATACACATAATGATGGCTAGGGGGTACAACAACTGAAACATTGTGATAACAACAACAAAGATGAAGACAATAGTCCGAATGTAAATAGTGTAAATAATAATAATACTTCATCCCAGAAATTCAAGATTGTAGTGTTTAAGGAAGCCTCCAGTAGCAGTTCTCCAGAAAAAAGATGTCTGAAAGGAAGTTTCTTCTTATATTTGGGATCCAGTGGGAAATAAGGGTGAATCAAATCCATGGATGTAGCATGGCATATCCTAGCTGTAAGGATCTGATGGAAATAAAGAATGAAGCTCATCTGAACAGTTGCCATAGCAATAACAGAGCAGAGATAGACTTGCAGCATTGTATCTGCAAGAAAGATGCTGTAAGCTGGAGAATAAGTCATCCCCTTAAAGGTAAATGATATATCTACTTATCCAACACTACTGTCAAACATAGGATGAAATTAATATTTCTAATATGACAGTTAAATAAGTTAAGTTAACTTAAGTTTAAAATTTCTCACTGCTTTTTACTGACTTCATTAATGATCTTCTCAGCCTCTGAGATTAAAAACACAACGTGGCAGAAGTGTGAATGGTTGTGAACAGATAAATGTCAGCTAAGTTGAGTATAATCGTGCTCTTCACATGATACCAGTGACAAAACAAGTCATGTTCTAATGAGTGAAGAGTCAGCTAAGCGGTAACCATGGCGGTCTGAGGGAACTTGAGGACTGAAGACTGGATGGTATAATTGGTTATTGCTGTTGGCCAGGGGTTACATATGTCCATTCATCATTTAGTCAGTTCAACTTTTCTTTTTTTTTTTTTTTTCCCCACTTGGCACTTTGTCAACATTGTTCTACATTCTAACCTACTTCAGAGTATTCCTACCATATCTGCGCTTGAACTGTTCAGTCTTCACTCTCCAGCTTTGATAGAATTCAAAATCATTTACATATTTTCAACTCTGTAACCTCTTTCTCACAGATACAATTTGCAAGCTTATCACTATTTCCATGATAAACATTCAGATGAGCTTGATTCTTTAGCTGCATCAGTTCAGACCTTTATAACTAGGACATGTCATACCACTTCCACAGAATCAAATCACCTTCATTCCTCCATGTTCTAAATATAAAAAGAAAGTTTCTCTTACCTTTTTCCAAAGAACTGTTATTTTGTGGAACAGATTCCCATATAGCTACTTCTTTGAGTTCTTCAATCTTGACCTTTCAATCATCATCTTTCCTACTTATTTTCAATCTTCACTTCCTACCGCCTTCTCTTCCATTCATATCACACACCCTATTCAGCATTACCCTTTAACCCTCTACTTAGAGTGGCTCTAAAACCTTCTATTGGGCTGTGTCTCAGCAGTAGCCCTGATTGAATCATAATAATGCATGAAATGTCATTTAGTATCTGAGAGAGTTGAAAAGTCTAAGTGAAAGAATAAAAATATTAAGTGGAAAAAAATATAGATTAGTTGACCACATTAGAATCTGATGGAAGAAGGTTTAGTTTAAAAATATTAATTACAACCTATAAAATATTTAATAGAAAGACATCAGCAGGATTTAAATTCAAAATAAATCTAGTAAGATTTAGTAAATTCAGTCCAACTGAATTTTCCCTACCCCGCATCTCATCTCCAGGAAAGTTATAGTGCTAAGATTAATGTGTTTACCAAAATTCTACAAAACCCAGCTAAATCTAAGAAGTGTTTAGCTAGCAAACTATTCAATCAAATTTACATTAATTTTTACCAAAATAGCTGAACCCATAATCTAACTGGAGGCACTTTTGGATGAGTCATATCTGGTCAAAGGTACTTTTTAATATAGCCATGTACATTCCTAACAGAAAGTTCTTTATAAGAAGATAATATCCATCAATGTCAATGGAGAAATATTTATATATTCTCGCCAGAGAATTTTTGCTGTGTCCAGACAGCAGTTTCTTTTTCTTCTTCTCTCAAGCTGAAATAATCTCCAACACACAGATGTCTAACCCTGCTGTTAACTTTCTCAACATCAAGATCTTAGTAGAAAATCAACCAAGAGTGATTACAGCCTGACAGCATATGACATTAAATTGATGGCAGTTTTTTCTTTTCTTTTTTTTTTTTCGTCAGCATTTAATATTTTTGCCTTTCAAAGAAGTCTCCAGTCAAGAAAACCATGGCCTGCTAAAATGCACAGAATTCTTCAACCAATCCCATCCTGGTGGACAAATAATGCTGATGACTGCATTCAGAGACCAGCAACAGGTGGAAATACTGAACAGATGAAAACACCCACAACACATGACACTTCATTTAGTATTTAGTACCAGTGAATATAAGGGGTAATATTTAGCTCTATAGGCGTGTATTGTGAAATTTTAGTATTAACAAGCTTTGCTTTATTTTCTGTATTAAGCTAAATATTTTATAACAGTAGTGAAAAAAAAACGGAAGAAATGCTGAACTGGACTAATATAACATTTATACTATAATATATTGGAAATTTTATCTGGTAGGCTTATTGCTGTATCACATTGAAATACCAGTTCCTCTACAATCACTGAAGTTAAGCAATGTCAAGCCTGGTCAGTACCTAGATGGGTGACTGATTGGGAATACCATGTGCTGTAAGCTTGGATGTGTAGGTGATGTAATGGATAATGGCTCAGAATTGTAAATTGGAGAGCCAAGTTTCAATTCCCATCAAGTTCATTATATGTATTCACTTATGTGCAAATAACCTTGGGAAAGGTATGAATCTACCTCTTCTCCCTCCAGATAAGACTTATACCACTAAACCATTATCATCTTCAAAAAAAAGATTCTTACAATCTAAAAATATCTTCTGGCTTTAAATAACCTGCAAAGGGTTGATAAGCCATAGAAAATAAATCAATGTTCTTTGGTGTTCATGTTTGATTCAGTAACCTTTAAAAATCAGCCTATTTTTCTTTTTCGTATTCTCTCTTTTAAAATAAATAATGTTAAGTCTGATGTAATATATACTTGAAGGCTGAAAAAAAACCTAACCAGCTAAAATATCATGGGTAAAATGGAAGATAAGAATACTGATTCAAATAAATTATGGAATTTTATTTTGTATTTTTAAAATGCATATATACAAGCCAACTTAAGAAATAAGAGATTTGACTAATTTTCTGGCACATATTTTTGTTGCATTATTTGTTACATATATCAGGTCCATTCTTCAGTCAGACATGAATGCAATGAAGGAGAAGAGGTCTTCACTTGTAACCCATGCTTCAAGAGATCAGCTTTCATGAACAATAAATTAAGTTGCCAAGATTAACTATCATTATTACACACAGCCTTTTACCACCATTTTGTTCTTATGACAATAGCAAAATATTATGTATACTTAAATAAAATGACTTCACTTCAGGTTAATAATTAAAATTCTTCCAATATATGCCAACAAAATATTTTGAAATATGCAAAAGCTAAATTATTTGCAACAGAAAGATATGTGACAAAGTAGCCAGGCAAAAAAAAAAAAGGTTAAATGTGAAAAATATAAGCTGGAAGCAGTCTAAAAGAGTTAAACGATAGAATAGATATACCAAGAAAAGCAACAAAAATGTTTTTTTATTCTGAAAGAAAAAAGAATCCTGCTTATTTTTATAAAAAGCAAAGACAGTTAAAAACAGCGAAAATGCTTCTATTTTATTCTAAAAGAAAAAGCCTATTGTTTTTTTTTTCTTTCTTGAAGCAAGGACAGCTGATAAAAAAAGCAAATGATGATATTTCTTTTTATGATGGACATTTGGATAATTTCCACTTGGCCAGAGTTGAAAAGTATACAGAATTATTTGGGATTTCTTAAGATAAAAGCCCAAAAATAACTTAAGGATTTGATTAATGACCAGTCGGGGAGAGATGCCAATGGACATGGGATTTTGGATAGGCCTTGGGAAATAGACTTCAGTTAAGGACTATGCAGACCAAAAGTGGTTAAAGAAAAATGAATTATGCATCTGCCCAGCGACAAAAGTGGTCACACTATAGAAATAAAGATAAATTTTAAAGATTTCCCTAACCAATAAATATAGCAGATGTGAAGTTGTTGACAGTCCTAAAGAGGCAGAAAGTATGTGCAAATAAAACCCGAAATTGAAATTTTCACTTTTGTTGGGAAAGGTGAATATTTTGAAGATTCCCCAAATGATAAAAATCACATAATTGTTGACAGTCAAAAAAAGACGTATAACTGCAGAAACAGCCTTCAAAGGTTACGTAGAGAAAGAGGTAACTCCACCCAGTCTGGTGATGATGTAAGCAACAGCTCAATGGACGTGGCAGATATAAGGAGGCCTGAAGGAATGGTCTCAGGTGAAAGATATGGCTCTGAGAATGTGGGAGCAAATCCTGTGCCCCCTCCCTGCAGGACAAGGTAATTCCCAAATTTGGAAATCATAATACCTTGCAAAAAAATTCTAAATGAGAAAACCTTGTTAGAATTAGATTAAGAAATTTGGGGAAACACCAAAAACCCCACCCTACTTCAGCTTGGAGTTAGGGTTCATAAAAACAAGATGCTTGGGGCATTTTGGACAGTTGAACAGTAGTTGCAGTTGGAGCTGAGGCCAGAGACGAATGTTTGGGACCCAGAACAAGACTGCAGCAAGACTGGAGAACAAGTGCCAACAAGTACTTTACTACCAAAACTTACCTGACTTACAGATAGATTGTTTCCAGCAAAAGCCAACAAGCCACTAATAGGTTCATGTGGGAAGGGCTGAACTCTATTTGTATTCTAAATTTACATAAAATTGTTGAATTCGACCAGGGAGTTCCCATCGTCATTCCTGTCCACAGGAATAATTATTTTCGTTTCTGTGACCAGCACCATGGCGATTCAATATGTCTAGTTCCTGCGAGATTCAATCTATGTCACCCTGAGATCAAAAATCACAATGTGGCAGGAGGTTGTGGATTGAACGACCAGCAACTGCTGACCAAGTTTTGGGCCAGAGCACAGCAGTAGTGGGTTATAGACAATTTAACTCTCCATCACAACTATGAGTCACTGTCACAGCATTAGTATCATAGGGATTACAAATATTCCATTTAAAATATTATAGATATATCATTTAGTTCTCGATTTTTTTTTCTCATACTTTTATTTTTTTAATCATTTCAACCCAAGCAAAGCAATAATACCATTAAGACACAAGGAGCTACAGGAAGTGAAAGAAAAGGAAAAGACTTTAGAAGGAACCTAATAACAGTATAAATTTTAGAATTTAGACAGAGACCTTAGAAGTATAGAGCTGAAGTAGAATTTAGAAGGCACCAGAAACCCAATTCTAAACAAGAAACAAGGGATAAACCTCTACTCCTGTTCAAAAAACTGGTGAGGTGCATGAACTGGACAATAAGTGAACTTAAATATTATTTTGAATATCTGTTCTGGCTTTCAAAGGATAAATAAAAATGAAAAAACAAGATTTTATTTTGAAAAATCGAAATGGCCAATATTAAAAAAAATTTTCTGGTTGTTTATTGTATGTAGCCATAAGGGTAAAAAAATAAGGAAGCTATACTGATGAATGGATTTGTTTTTTTACAGTTTATCAACTCTTTGAGAATTATTTAATATCAAAACATTTTGGATTATAAGAATGAATATTTTTGTAGTTGAATATTGCATTAACATTTTTTTTTGAAGATAAATGATTTTTTCAATTACACATCCTCCTATTTAACTCATAGCTGGAGGGGAAAGATGAATACATACCTTTCCCAAAGGTATATGCACATAAGTGCTATACTGATGGAAAATTGCAAGTTATTTACAAAATTAACTACTTAAACCAATTGAAAAGGCCTATCTCAAAATCTGAAAAAATAAATAAATAAAAGAAAGTATAAAAAAAAAAAAAAAATCATTCCAGGAGTATTATGGGATGCTTTTGCACCCCTAAACAAATAAAACTCCTCATAATCCACATAAATATTATAAATAAAACTAGAAACTCCTTGTAGTTATTTGACATAGATATTCAGAAAGCTACTTGACAAATCATGAAAATTTGACTTGCTAAATATTAAGGAAAAATATTTTGTCAAGTGTTCAAACAGCCCAGAATAATGAAGGATTAATGGCTAATGTTATAGCCAAATACCACAACATAAAAAAAAAAACAACAATTGTCTAAAAGACACCAGGTTTACCACTCCATAATGGACAGATTCTCCACAGGGTCAAATACATGACTTCAGAACAATAACCAACAGTAACGAATGACAAACACCAATATATAAATTAACAAGATTTAATTATAACTAGACAATACATGAAAACATTTAGGTAAGAGAATGCATGGAAAGATGTGTGCTATACATTTCTATGTGGAAAGATGTATGCATTATATTCTGAGGTTAAATGTTGTAACAAAAAATACTTTGCTTCAGTCTTTCTTCTATAAGGTTTTCTGTTTTCCTACACTTTCTCTTATGATTCTCTTTTACTTTCAACTCAGTTTGTTCACTCAAGTAGCAGTGTCTTTTGATCTCTTCTTTCTTCAATGTAGCATTTGTTAATCGGTTGCAGAGATTCGGTGCTTGCATAAGTCATATATTCAGCAGTGCAAAATTCATTGTTCAAATCCTTCATCCAACTGAGTGTCTCACATATGCCTTTCTTAGAAGACTTTCTCTTGCTTGACTGTAAAAAGTAAAAGAGGAATTATTTGCACAAGAAACGTTTCTGCTTGATTGTGTGCTTAGAATTTATGTAAGTTGAGAACATCATTCTTTCTCTTCAGTCTGGAGAATCCATTCATATAACAATTTACTGGATGGTCCGACTCCTTCAAGTGTCGTTACCCAATTAGTTTAGTTGGTGTAAGTTGGGGATAACCTTCCTTCTTTTCGGAGGATCCATTTGCATGACGACTTAATGGATGGCCCAACTTCTTTGAGTTTCATCACCCAACTGGTTTCTGCCGATCTTTTCCTGTGGTCAACAGCCTATTTGATCTAATTGTTTTTTGAAGTCAGCAGCTACTATTACATATTTAAAGAGAGAGGGGGAGTTCATGTTATATTATTAGAGAGATGGGTCACTAAGTGTAAACTACGTGTGGTTATGGGTTTTTGAGCTGTGTAAGAACATATCACTAATAACAGGACAAAATCTCCGGGATTCTGAGACAAACCTTTATGCAAGTGATAAAATCTCAAAGAAAATCCACATTTGCTGCATTAATTGAACTAAAGCTGTTTTTGGTTTTTAGAATAAAACTAGAATTACCTGATATTATAAAAAAGAAATTAAAAAACATATCTATTATTACCAATGTATAAAATTGTATAATAATAACACTCTTCTACTAGTACATTCTCGCTCAAATCCCATAAACTCCAACTGTGGAGTATAGGACCACAGCTCTCTCAACATGCTAGAAATTGCTACTGCGTTTTGTTTTTTTAAATCAATTCATCCCAAGTAAGGCAATCATGCCACTAAGATGAAAGGGGTTACTGAAAGTGAAAGAGAATGAGAAAGACTTTAGAAGGAATTGGAAACCCAAACATAAACAAGAGATAAACCTTTACTTCTGTTCAAAAGATCGGGGAGGAGTGAGAACCCGAGAAAAGACAAACCTA